AAAAGGCTTCAAAAAACGTCTAGGGTTCGCTTAGAACTCTTGGGGACGATTTTGAGGGCTAATGGGGTACTTTTATAGTTGAGGCTTCTAGGGTTTTGAATATGGAAACCCTAATTCACTTTGCTTAGGCCCTAAGCAAAATATGGACTCGTATCGAATAAGCCTTGGACGAAATTTTTATGGAATCTCATATAGATTTCGTCCACCTAATACCAATAAGGTTCATGAGTCCAAACTATAAATATTATTGATTTACATAATCAGTCCTCACTAATTTAGTCAGTCTTTTTTGATCACCAAATTAATTCCACATTAATTTCTGATCAATACTAATTAAATAATATGATTTCTCAATTAATATATTATTCTTATAGTATACTAATAAATCATAATTAACCCTCTTTCTCCATAATTCATCCAATCAGTTACTATGGTGAAGGCAACCCAAAAGGACCATGCTCATAATCAAATCAATTACATTCCAAAAATAGTTATGGCTTAGATACCTAATCCATCAGATAATACCATTAAAACCGGGAGTGATCATCAACAAAAGTAACATAATATCAATAAGCTTTAACAAAAATAATGGGTAATGTTCCCCATAAATCTCAATGTACTATGTCCAAAAGACGAAGAGCATGTTTCAGATTAAGCTTAAATGGTAAACGACAATATTTTGCTAATTGACAAGATGAACATATAACCAGTTTTCATAAAATAAAAGAAGCCTGTAAATGTACCAATGTACGTAATAATGAAATAGTATCAAAGGAACCATGACCCGATTGAAGATGTTAAAATTCAAAAGCACCTTTATTTTTTTGTGTTGGAGAAAAAAAACTTGGACTATTCGGAGCAACGGATAAAATATATAGCCCATGATCATATTTCCTTGTGCTAGCACTTCCTTCATTGGATGATCCTGAATAGTAAATAAATTGCGGGAACAAACAACATCCAGATCATTATCACAAGTTAGTTTACTCACAGACACTAAATTTTTGGTAAGATTGGGAACAACCAAAACATCATTCGCAATGGTGGAAGTCCAACATGAGAGATAGGGAGAGAAGTGCCATTACCAAATAAATCTGAGCATCACCAGTAGAAGGTGTGGAATTTGTAACTGAGGCAAAAAATGAGACCATATGATATGAGGCCTCGGAGTCCACATACCAATTCGGTGAAAAAGTGTTCACATGAGATTGCGTTTGAATAGCTCGAGCAAGTTCAAAATCACGAGTGAGTGATACATTTGAAAAGGATGCAAATTGAGGGAATGTATTTATGTAATGTCTATTGTTGTGACAAAGTTGACAGTGAGGGGATTGTCGGCCACGACCACGACCACGACTACCCCGATAAGTACGAAGACCTCTACCTCAAAAACCAGTACTGGAAAAGACCCTATTGAGTCAAGTTTGGGGCCAGTAAATGAGGTGGTTGGGCAGTCGGAAAAGGAGTAGCGAAGAGAGGGTACTGATGGGCCTATTGTGTAGCAAAAGCAACAAGAGAGGTGGACCCACAAACTAATTGAAGGAACAACTCATGTCCCTCCTCCCGTGCTAATAGATCATGAAAAACAGAGGGAACACGGGAAGCTCGGACAAGCATAAAGATGGTCTCAAAAATGGCTCCAAGATCACATAGAACCAATGAGCCTTGTTTGATTCCTCAACATATTCACCATTAGTCGAGAGTTAGTCGCAAATATTTTTAAAATGTATAGCAAATTCATAAACAAAATGATTACCCATGGTGAGATGGTGTAATTGATCACAAAGAGGTTGAACCCTCTCCATGCAGTTCCCATATACACGTTCTAGGGAAAGCCTGATCGTGCATGTAGTGGAGAGACCGACAATTTTAGAGAAACCTTATTCTGTCAGAGTCACATGAAGAAAAAGGATGGTGTGTTGATTGGCTGAAATCGACTCTTGAAAGGCTCGATTTGGAGAAGACTTTACAACATCATTGAATTCGCCTGGGAGTGAGGAAGACCCATTAAGATGTCCGAGCAAGCCTTGATAGATGAGTAGATGGGCCACTTGATTCGTCCATTTAAGTAATTTCTACAGAATAACTTGATACATATTAAGTGGAGAATTGTATTTATTGGAAGATCATTTTCTTGGGTAAACGATGTGGAAGAAATATTTAAAGCAAGGGAGAGAAAACACAAGAGTTGGTACAAGGAGATGTGAACCGACAAAGGGAGGGGAAACGAGAGGGAGGGGAGAAATATCTAAAGGCTATGATATCAATAAAGAGATAATGATTCATAATACCAACCAGAGGGTATAGGGAGTATATTTATATACAGATTAAAAAGGATCATGTCTTGGCATACGTAATCCCAATTTGTACACTTCTATCTTTAAGATTATGTTTTAGGGAAGTGGGATGCAAATCTTTGATTAGGATAACAGGTTAAATGTTAAAAGGTTTCTCCATATGTTATAATTTTTATATTGAAATCATATTTGGATTTTTTGGGTTAAAACCCATGTAGTTCAAAAGTTTTTTTGACTTCCATGTTATTTTTAATAGTGTTATATACTCAGGTATCAGAGTAGAGCTTAGAGAGATACCGATAGAACATGCTTATAGAAGGATTAGTTGTAACATCTTGAAATCTACGCTTACATTTTTTCTAAAATAAATAAATAAAATAAATGGATAAAATAAAATAAACAATGAATAATTAATTTTATAAGTAGAGTAAAACATTTTAGAAATCAAATATAATTTTTTTGCAACATTTTCGAATTAGGGACTAATTATTTCAAACTCCCAATAATATGGTTTGACTTAACATAGATCCAATTAGCTGCTTAGGACTAGTTTCTCATGTTTTGGATGGGGAAGGACTTAGGATGCACACTATCAAAGTTATATTTCCACTTAAGAGAACTTTGGGCCATAATTGTCAAAAACTCGAAATTAGGGGTAAAAAGTGAAGAATTTAGAAATAAGAGGTTCACACCTTTCACTCAAGGTGATGGGATCGATTGGGAGGTTTGAAGGCTGTGGATAAATAGTGATTCAAGCATATAAGGCCATATAATTCGATCTTAAGTTTTTCTAGCTAATTTGGAACACATTGTGAACTAATCTAGTGGCCTAAGGTATAACTTCTTTCTCCCATGAGCTAGAAATATGAGTTTAACTGGTTGTTTGGGTGTTGAATCCAATTTTTATCACATTTTAGGACCAATATTTTATGTTATATGAAAACTAAGATGTATATATTAGCTTCTAGCTCAAGCCTACCTTCCTATGGCTGAATTTGAGTGAAAATACAAAATATCCACAAACCCTAGATTTTCTAATAATAATTGGGATGCAATAATTTTGCCCTTATATGATGGCATGACCATTGAGAAAGGATTTATTACAAATCTCCATAGAATAGCACAATTCAAGCAATGGTAGAATCATTTACTCAGAATATGAAGGTTGGGGACAATTATGAAATATGAACTTTAATGGTGAATCTTGATGATATAAGGAATATGTAATATTCATAATCAAAGTTATATGTTATGGATTATGAATTGAAGGTAAACATGAAGAATCATCACATCCTAGTGTGGTTCTAATGATTGCTGGGACAAAAGGGAAAACAGGAAAAAAGAAGGAAAACATGCTCTTGAGATCAGTTCTATGGATTGGAATATTCAGAACTTGTCATACTTGCATATATTAATCTACTTGAACTTATTTTCATGGAGGAGGTTGTTAGTAGAGACATTGATTCATTCGATGAATTAAGTACTTATTTATATTAAGTAGCATAATGACTAATTGATACTTAAATCATTGGGAATGATTATTGAATTTAGTCAAATTAATAAGAGTGACATGATAGTTTTTATACTTTTATTAGTATCATGTTGAGATTTAAGTCATGTGCTTAATGGATGTTTGAATTAATTTGAAGAATGAATAAAATGGAAGTAGAAAACTATATTCCCAGTGTACACGAGGGTCCATGTACGAACTTGGGGCGCCCAATGCAACAGCCTTCCCGATTCTGTGAAATTTCCCATCATTTTCATTGAATTCCATTTGAAGCGTCTCCTATGTTAATAGAACTTGTAATCTGAATTTCTAAAAGTACTTATGTATAAATCTTAGTTTACTTTTAGCAAAATAGTAATGTATTGGTTTATATAGGTAGTGATTGAGGGTGGTTACATGTAAAAAAAGAAGTAGAATAAAAATCTTGGAGCTAAGGTGAGTTATCGGGAAAATATATCCCCACCCACTAAATTTTTATAAGTGTTACATGATTTTCATTACAAGGTACATAATATACTCA